GGGACTGGAAGGACTTTTGTCACCCTCTGGCTCTCAGCCACCAACACCTATTACACAAATGTGACAGTGACCATTATCATCTCTGAGCCCTTGAACAAATCACAACCCAAAAGGTTACCCTCCCGAAAATAATCACCCCATCAAAACCACTGACCCAGAGAGCGGCAGTCCCTCAAGGAGAGAGTACGGACAAGGCGTGGGGCCTGCTCCTTGTATGGAGTGTGCAGTGCCCTGGCTGTGCTTTTCTTATGTGGCCTGCCACAGGAAGAGGCTGGCATCTGGAATCTGTGCCTTCTAATTCTTCTTTTTTTCTTTTCTGTTTTTTTTTGACACTGAGTCTCACTCTGTCACCCAGGCTGGAGTGCAGTGGCGCGATCTCGGCTCACGGCAACTCCAACTCCCTGGTTCAAGCAATACCCCTGCCTCAGCCTCCCAAATAGCTGGGATTACAGGCGCCCACCACCACGCTTGCGTAATTTTTTCTGTATTTTTAGTAGAGATGGGGTTTCACCATGTTGGCCAGACTGGTCTCGAACTCCTGACCGCAGGCAATCTGCCCACCTCGGCCTCCCAAAGTGCTGGGATTACAGGCATGAGCCACCGCGCCCGGTTGCCTTCTAATTATTCTTTAGCAGAAGAGCATGTTTAAGGCGCTTCCTCGAAGGTTGCCTTTTCCTTCTCTTTTTGTTTCTGTATTTCAATCAATCGATCAAAATATTTTCTTTCTTTCTTTTTTTTTAGTTTGAGGCAGGGTCTCGCTCTGTTGCCCAAGCTGGAGTGCAATGGTGTGATCTCGGCTCACTGCAACTTCTGCATCCCAGGCCCAAATGATCCTCCTGCCTCAGCCTCCCAAGTAAGGAGGGACCACTATGTCTGGCTAATTTTTTAGTTTTTTGGTTTTTTTTTTTTTGTAGAGACATGGTCTCACCATGTTGCCCAGGCTGGCTGGTCTGGAGCTCCTGGACTCAAGGGATCCACCCACCTTGGCCTCCCGAAGTGCTGGGATTACAGCCATGAGCCACTGTGCCCAGCCAATCAAGATATTTTCTAGACTGATTTGGGTACTGCAAACACCAAGAGTGAGAGTTTTTCTACAGGGTAGATTGACGGAGCATCAGCTCGGTCTGTGATTTCCTCGGGCCTCATAATTCCCCTGTAAGACTGAGATTGCAGACAAGGAATCGGAAGTTGCACCAGAAAAAAGTAACGAGGTCCATCCAGCTGGTGTTTGCGGGGAGGCTGGTACTGTAGCCCTGGGTTCTGGACTCCAGAGTCCGGCCTCTGATCTGCTGCAGACTTCAGTCATCACGGCAAAGGTAATCCTATGTCATATGCCGTATTTTCTCATTTTATGCTTGGTGTAACTGACAATACTGAAAATAACCAGTATTGATATCCTGATTTCATTAGAGAAATGACTCTCGGAGAGCTTAGGTGACAGGAAGCCTGTCCAAGGTCACACAGCTAGCCAAGGTCACACGGCAAGCCAAGGCCACAGGGCTAGCACTGATCAGTAGTCATGCCTCGAACCCGTGCCTTCATGGGCTCCAACCCAAAAGATGGAATGCCACTGGGAGCACGGCCTGCAAAGCAGAGAGTGCAGGGGCTGGGCAAGAGGAAATTGAAAGTGTTTTTTTTTTTTTTTTCTTTTTTTGGAGACAGAGTCTCACTCTGTTGCCCAGGCTAGAGTGCAGTGGGGCAATCTCGGCTCACTGCAACCTCTGCCTCCTAGGTTCAAGTGATTCTCCTGCCTCAGCTTCCCGAATAGCTGGAATTACAGGTGCCCACCTCATTTTTGTATTTTTAGTAGAGACGGGGTTTCACCATGTTGCCCAGGCTGGTCTCAAACTCCTGACCTCAAGCGATCCTCCTGCCTCCGCCTCCCAAAGTGCTGGGATTACAGGCGTGAGCCACCATGCCTAAAGGCGGTTTTAAAAATGGATTCAAGAGGCTCCATTTTTCAGCACTTGACACGCCTTTTCATCATCACCATCTGAAAATCAGGACCCCATTTGGCCTTTCCTGCATGACATGCTATGAGGAGCTATGATCACAAGTGCATCTTCATCTTCAGGGCCCCTGCCAGCCACCACCAAACCACAGTCACACAGCCCCTCAGTCCCAGGAAGCAAGTCTTTTATCGGAAAGGCCCAGAATCACTGCAAAGGATAAAGAAGTCTAGACACTGCCCCTCCCTTTTTTTTTTTTTGTTTTTTTTTTGTTGTTGTTTTTTTTGATACATTGCCTTGCTTTGTAGCCCAAGCTGGAGTGCAGTGGCACCATCCCAGCTCACTGCAACTTCCACATCCCAGGCTCAAATGATCCTCCTGCCTCAGCCTCCCAAGTAGCTGGGACTACAGATGCACACCACCATGTCTGGCTAATTTTTTGGTATTTTTTGTAAAGACAAGGTCTTGCCATGTTGCCCAGGCTGGTCTCAAACTCCTGGACTCCTAGAACCTGAACCAGGTCCTGTGACCCTGCCACCCCTTTCCTAGTACAGTGTCCACAAGGGGCTGTCCTGTCCCATCTCCCAGCTCTGCACCCCCTTTCGGTGGGGCTGCCCTTCCTCCCTGAGATTTTCAGCACCATCTCAGCCTGGAACCTTCCAGCGATCCCTGGACCTTCTGAGTCCTACCATCTCCCCAGTTCACTCCCTGCTTCCCTCCCCACTCCTCCTAATTCTTTTCCATCTCATGTGCGTCTCAGCCACACTCTGACCACGGCATACACAGACTGTGTGATGAACCTACTCAGGTTGGAGCACTGCTTCTCACATCCCTCCTGCGTCCCCTGTGCCGCTAAGTACAAAGCCACCCACACACGCCCACTGATGGATTCAAACAAGCGTCGTCATCTTTAGAAGAGTTAGGCTTAGAAGTCTTTTTTTGAGACAGAGTCTTGCTCTGTCACCCAGGCTGGAGTGCAGTGGTGTGATCTCAGCTCACTGCAACCTCCGCCTCCCCAGTTCAAAGCGATTCTCCTGCCTCAGCCTCCTAAGTAGCTGGTACTACAGGTATGCACCACCATGTCGGGCTAATTTTTTGTGTGTATTTTTAGTAGAGATCGTGTTTCACCACGTTGGCCAGGCTGGTCTCGAACTCCTGACCTCAGTTGATCCACCCGCCTTGGCCTCCCAAAGTGCTGGGATTACAGGCGTGAGCCATTGCGCCCGGCCAGAAGTCATTTTTAAAAATCACATAAAGGATGAGCAGATATACAAAATATGGTCTATCTGCACGACAGAATATTATTCATCCTGAAAAAGGAAGGCGATTCGGTCACAGGCTACAACACAGATGAACCTTGAGGACGTGAGGCTCAGAGAAATAAGCCAGGCACGGGAAGGACACAGGTTGTATGAGCCCCCTTATACGGGGTCCGGAAAATCATCAGATTCCTAGAGACAGAATGGAGAAGGGTGACTGCCAGGGACTGAGGAGGGAGCCAGGGAGATGTTTAATGGGGACACAGTTTCAGTTTGGGAAGAGCTGGATGGTGGTGACCACTGCAAGACAATGCGAATGGGCTTAACGCCAGTCCACTGTGTGCTTCAAAGCGGTTCAGTGAGCTACTTTTATGTCATGTGTATTTCACCACGATTTTTTAAAAAATCACATCAAGGACCATTCATGCATTAACTGAAGACTGCTGTGGCCAGGGGAGCCACAGTCTGCCTATCTGATACCCAGGCTAGTAACATCTACACGGGTCCAAGCAGTCCCTGGCCTTGACTACGCTGAGTCCCGGTCACTGTTACTCTCCTTAGGGCAGCCCCGGCCCGAGGCAGGAGTATCATCTCTTTACAGATGCCTCGCTGGGGAAAGAACGGGAGATTCCGCGAAAGCACAGAAACGGACACTTAACGGATTCCTGTCCTCATATGAAGCACAAAAACGGACACTGACGGAGAAATTCCTGTCCTCATATTAATTCCCGGCTCCTGGGATTTCCGGCAGGTATTATGCACAGGCTGAGCACTTAATAAAGGTGGAATGAACGATCGACTGTTTCTCTCCCCTTTCTGGTAGGTTGGTAACCTTACACCTTCAAGACGAGTCATAAACGTCAGGAGAAACATTTCTGAACTACAAATCAAAGGCTTTGAGAGCAGGCGGGACAGACAGAGGTCAGTTTGGTCCAAGACCCAGTGTGTGGGCAGCCCCGAAGCTCACAGCTGAGGCCACTGTCCATGAACCTGGGTCCCCGTGACAGCCTCCAGCGGTGCTCAGAGCCCCCGAGGGACAGAAACACCCGCTCTGCCCCTATCTTCAGAGGGGGCTCAGCAGAAGGCCTGGTGGCCCCATCGGGCCTGGAGCGGCCTCCTGGGGTGAGTGGCTTTCAGGCCTGAGGTGGCTGGGGACTGGTCCGGGTTTCAGTGGGGAACCTGGGCCCCCTCCTGTGCCCCCACCACTCCCTTTCTAGTAGAGTCCCTGTGGGAGGCTGTCCTCGCCCATCTCCCAGCTCCGTACCCCCTTTTGGTGGGGCTGCCCTTCCTCCCTGAGCCAGGCCCCACCTTCCCAGGAGCCTCTGAGTCAGGCTGGGCTGTGGTCTGCAAACTTCCGGGCCCTTCAGGTGTCAGAAAAGTTTCTCTTCCTCCCTCTGGGCAGGTGCACCAAGGGGCTGCAGCCTCCTGACCCCCGATTTTTTCCTGTCCAGTAGGAGGAGGTGGGGGTTTTGCTGGGCGGTGATACTCAGAGACGCTTAGAGAGACACGGAGGAGAGGTACACGAGATGGAAAGTGAGGGAGAAAAAGGGTTGGAAGGGAAAAGGAGGAGATAAGAGTGAGAGAGAGAAGTGGGGCAGGGGGACAGAGATGGAGATGGAAGGATACCCCCATCATCGCGGGGCCAGCAGGAGCCACTCCCATCCCCCCCCACGCCCCACTACCATGTCATCTCACTGATGCCCCCCATCTCCTCCCCGTGTCCTCCTCTCTTTCCCCAGCTCCCCGCCTCGTGCTCCCCCTCCGCCAGTTCCCCCATCCCGGCTGCGCCTACCTGGGGCGCTCATGCTCCGCCAGCAGCGTGGGGCGCCTCCTCCACGCAGGCCTCCGGCTTCCTCCAGGCGACCGGGCCCTCCGTCCCCGCGGGCCCGGACCCGTCCTCCGAGGGGCGCCGCCCGCCCAGGGGCTGCAGGGCCAGGAGGGGGCTGAGGGCGGCGCGGGCGGGAGTCCGAAGGCCAGAGGAGGCAGGAGAGAAAAAAGGAGAGAAAGTATGTCATAGGCTAGGAGGGGCGGGGGAGGGAAATGCAAAACCCGACAGGAAATGAGACTAAAAAATGCGAAAGGTTAGAAAAAGATAAGGAAGAGAGGGAGGGGGCGGAGTCGGTGCTTCGGGAGGAGGGCGGTAAGGAGGTGGGGGTGGGAGTGGGGACAGGGCCTGGGGTGGGGGTGCTTGGGGACAGATCAGGGAGCCGGGGATGGGGAGACCAAGGCGAGTCTCGGGGTCCAGGCCACCTGCATCAGTCGGGGTGAGGCTGGACCAGCCTGGGCGTCAGTCCCCACCCAGCTGTGACCCCAGGCAGAGTCCAGGTGGGGCCTTGGAAGGGGCTATCCCCTTTCTAGGTTCCTCAGGCCTCTGGCTCCCCAGGTCTAGCCAAATTTCTCAAGAAATTCCAGAGCCTGTCACTGCACCGTGTGTGTGTGTGTGTGCGGGAGAACGGGGTGTCCCACATAAAATCCTGCAGCCTCCTACACCCCAAGCCTCTTTCCTCCCTCAGCCGCTGTTCTGGAAGCTTCCTGGACATGCTGGCTGGTCAGCACCCCTGCAAAGGCCTTCCTCACCCCAAAAGCTTTGGGGTCCAAGATATCCATCATCAGCTTGCACCCTCAACGTTCTGGTGAACTATGCTTGTGAAAGAAATTGTGATTTGGATGTCATCATTTTACTTTATTTTTGTTTTTTGAGACGGAGTCTCGCTGTGTCACCCAGGCTGGAGTGCAGTGGCAGGATCTCACCTCACTGCAAGCTCTACCTCCTGGGTTCAAGCGATTCTCCCACCTCAGCCTCCCAAGTAGCTGGGACTACAGGCGTGCACCACCAAACCTATCTAATGTTTGTATTTTTAGTAGAAATGGGGTTTCAACATGATGGCCTGGCTGGCCTCGAACTCCTGACCTCAAGTGATCTGCCCACCTCAGCCTCCCAAAGTGCTGGGGCTACAGGCGTGAGCCACCGCGTCCGGCTGGATGTCAGCATTTTGATAATTTACCCCAAATGGCCAGCGTCGTGGGTGGGATGGTCCCAAGGGTTTACAGGGATTGTGGACTCAAAAATCTGGATGAAAGAAAATGTGATACACACACACACACACACGCGCACACACACACACACACACGCACCATGGAATACTACTTAGCCATGAAAAAGAACGAAATAAAGTCTTTTGCAGTAACTTGCACTTGGATGGAACTGGAGGCCATTATCTTAAGTGAAGTAACTCAGGAGTGGAAAACCAAATACTCCATGTTCTTACTTAAAAGCGAGAGCTAAGCTATGGGTAGGCAAAGGCAGGCAGAGTGGGATCGTGGACATTGGAGACTCGGAAGGGGGAAGAATGGGAGGGGGTAGGGGATGACAAATCACCTGCTGGGTACAATGTACACTGTACGACGTGTACTAGTCCAGGGACAGGAACACTAAAAGCTCGGACTTCACCACTACCCACTTCATCCGCATAACCCAAAACCGCATGTACCCCTAAAGCTATTGAAATAAAAATCTGGATGAACCGTGCCTACCCAGAAAACCTTAGTTTCTATTTGCTTGCTGCAATTGACCGCTGCCTCCCGCGCCGCCCCCCAGCTTCTGTACCTCTCATTCTACTCTGCCTCAGTTTACCACTCTCCCCTCATCTCTCTCCCTCTCTTTTGATCCCCTCATTACGGCTAGAGAACGTAGGCTTCTGTTTCATGTTTTAAGCGTTCTGAGAAAAGTTCCTCGAGGTGCTAGAAGGAAAGGCCTTCAGCAAATTAAACTTTCAGCAAGACGATAAATAAAAAATGGGATTTTGGTCCAAGCACGGAAGAATCTGAAACGCCAGTGAGGAATGTGTTTGCACTGATGCGCATGTGCTAGGGATGAAGGAATACACCGGTTTGCTTCCTGTAAAGCGTGTTCAGAAATGCAAGCAAGGGCTGTAAAGAAAGTTTCTAAAATGAACACCAAGACCCACAGCCTTCTAGGCCTTCGTCCCTAAGGACACATCTCACTGCCTACCCAGGACCGGGGAAGCTGCTTGTACTCTATGAAACCTCTAAATCAGGCAGTGACATTTATTTTTATTTATTTATTTATTTATTTATTTATTTATTTATTTATTACGGAGTCTTGCTCTGTTGCCCAGGCTGGAGTGCAGTGGCACGATCTCGGCTCACGGCAACCTCCACCTCCCAGGGTTCAAGTGATTGTCCTGCCTCAATATCCCGAGTAGCTGGAACTACAGGCATGCACCACTACGCCTGGCTAAGTTTTGTATTTTTAGTAGAGACGGGGTTTTACCAGGTTGGTCAGGCTGGTCTCGAACTCCTGACCTTGTGATCCGCCCGCCTCGGCCTCCCAAAGTGTTGGGATTACAGGCTTGAGCCAATGCACCTGGCCAGCATTTTACTTTACTTTACTTTACTTTATTTTATTTTATTTTATTTTATTTTATTTTATTTTATTATTTTTGAGACAGGGTCTCGCTCTGCCGCCCAGGTTGGAGTACAGTAACTTGATCACAGCTCACTGCAGCTTTGACCTCCTGGGCTCAAACCATCCTGCCGCCTTGGCCTCTCTAGAAGCTGGGACTACAAGTACACGCCACCACGCCTGGCTAATTTTTTAATCTTCTGTAGAGATGAGGTCTCACTATGTTGCCCAGGCTGGTCTTGAACTCCTGACCTCAAGCAATCCTCTTGCTTGAGCCTCCCAAAGTGTCAGGATGACAGACGTGAGCCACGGCATCTGGCCTGTCATTTTAAAGAAGAGCTCAGATTTCCCTCCCGCAAGATATGAAATGAGGGCAATGCCTTAAAACAGCGAAACATGTCTCTAGAGATATGTATGCAGTAAAGGCCACAAATGCTGCAAAGTCTGATGAATTTTTGCAGCAACTTGGATGGAACTGGAGGCCATTAGCCTAAATGCGAGTGTAACCCACACTCACACTTCATTCTATCAAAACATGGAACTTCATCTGTGCCCCAGAAACCCCCTTGTGTCTCGTTCCTATCGCTCTCCCACCGAGCGTAGCCACATTCCTGCCTCTGACAGCATGGGTCAGTTTGCCTGTTTGTGAACTGTATGTAAACGGCAGCATGCGTGGGTTCTTTTCGCAGCCTGGAACCTTTCACTCAGCGTTACGTTTCTGATTTTATAGACGGGACTGCATGTGGGTCTAGTTCTGTAAGACAAGCCTCTTTCTCCCCCAACATCTTATTAAAAATTTTAAATGTTCAGAAAAGTTAGAAGAATCATCTAATGAATTTCCATAGAATCCCCATATATCCCACCACTTGATTCTACAACTAGCATTTTGCTCTATTGGCTTTATCACAGATCTATCTGTCTATCTCTCCATCAGTCCTCCTGTCTTTTTTTCTTTTCTTTTCTTTTTTTTTTTTTTTTGAGACGGAGTCTTGCTGTGTCGCCCAGGCTGGAGTACAGTGGTGCGTTCTCGGCTCACTGCAAGCTCCGCCTCCCAGATTAATGCCATTCTCCTGCCTCAGCCTCCCAAGTGGCTGGGACTACAGGCGCCCGCCACCATTTCTGGCTAATTTTTTGCATTTTTAGTAGAGACGAGGTTTCACCGTGTTAGTAGGATGGTCTCGATCTCCTGACCTCGTGATCCATCCACCTCGGCCTCCCAACCTCCTGTCTTTTTTTTGGGGGGTGTGTTTCAAAGTAAGTTGCAGACATCATCAGTATACGTCACTGTTAAACACTCCATCTTGCATATCATTCACTAGAGAGGTTTGTTTAGGTGAAATTTACAAACAGATTTTAACCATACGATGCAATGAAGCTGGGCACAGTGGCAGGTGCTTGTAGTCTCAGCTACTCCAGAGGCTGAAGCAGGAGGATTACTTGAGCCCAAGAGTTTGAGGCTGCAGTGAGCTGTGATTGCACCACTGCACTCCAGCCTGGGTGACAAAGCGAAACCCCATTTCAAATAAATACGTACATACATAAATAAATGATTTAAAAACTATATGATGTAATGAGTTTGGACAAAGGTACATATTGTGTAAGCCATGCCCTTATGAGGACATAGAACAGTGTGGTCCAATGTGATGGCCACTAGTCACATTTGACTGTTGAGCACTTTGACAGGAGGCTGGTGAGATTAGGAAGCGAGGTTTTCATTCTCTTCTATTATTATTATTATTATTTGAGAAGGGGTCTTACTCTGTAGCCCAGGCTGGAGTGCAGTGGTGCGATCTCGGCTCAATGCAACCTCCACCTCCTGAGTTCAAGCAATTCTCCTGACTCTGCCTCCTGAGTGGCTGGGTTTACAGGCACCCACCACCACATCCAGCTAATTTTTGTATTTTTAGTAGAGACGGGGTTTCACCATGATGGCCAGGCTGGTCTCGAACTCCTGACCTCCAGTGATCTGCCCGCCTCGGCCTCCCAAAGTGCTGGGATTACAGGCATGAGCCACTGCGCCTGGCCAATTTTAATTATTTTTCATCTAAATCCAAAAACTAACACTTGATTCTGTTATTGAAAAGCTGTTAAGTACGTCTGGAGCCATTTGAACATGCTCATCTACTTTTTCAACTGTAAAGTTAATGAAATCTAAATACAAGTCAAGTATCTCCGAGGAAAATATGGTGTCTGCATTGATGTGCTGTGAGTGTAACAGAAACCAGATTTTGAAGACTTCATGTGTAAAAAAGAATACAAAACGTCTCGTTAATAATGTTTATATTGACTGCACGCTGAAATAATATTTTTGATAAGTTGGGTTCAATAAAATATATCAGTAACATGCATTTCCTTGGTTTCTTTTTGGTATTGCCAGTAGGAAATTTAAAATTACACATTTTATTTCTATTGGGCGGTGCTGTATTATATAGAACATTACCATCACCCCCAATGAGTTCCTCATGCCTAGATACGCCATTTTGTATCTTGATTCCTCTGTGATCCCAGAGAGAAGTGGATTCCAAAGTCTTTGAATCATAGACACAAAGATGGCAACAATCTGCTGAGTACAGTGGCTCAGGCCTGTGATCTCAGCACTTTGGGAGGCCAAAGCGGGCAGGTCACTTGAGGTCAGGTGTTCAAGACCAGCTTGGGCAACATAGGGAGACCC